TCCCTGCTGATTTTGCAGGCATATGGCAAAGGAAAGAAGGCAACAACAGAAGAAAGATCACATTCTTACAATTTAAGAGCCTCAATGTATATAGTCAGAGGCATGACTAGATAAAATTTATCCCTTTGAATTGCATCCACAATCCTGCTGGCTACATAATCTGGCTCGGACACAGGAAGAAGGGGGCTTCTGGTGAAACAAGAAACAAAGCATTATGAAATTATAAAACTTTAATTTTGAGCTGTATTCAAACACAGAAATAATTTAATTAAATCATTTAAGAATTTTCCCCCTTCCCCTCAAGTAGTCTTGAAACAGAGTCTCCAATCCTCTTTGCTCCTGCTATTATCAAAATAAATTGAAAACACTTTGGTGATGTTGTGAATTTGAATGACTTTTGTGCAAGCCCTGCTTCAACCCTAATGCAGTTAATACTCACAGTGATTGCAGTATTGAAATCTTCCATACTAAGCTAAGCAATACTATGTGCTGTTCCGCATATAATAGTTCTGCCCTCTGCATACCTCCTCCTTTTCTGCTGTAAATGTTGAGAGGACAGCTAAATAGACCAGGACCAGGCCTGTTCCCAGCCAGAAGAAAGGCTGTGGTCTAGCTAATATATGCTACTTCAGGATGATGAGTGGTGGAAGCAGGAACAGAGCACTGCAAAACCAAGATCCCTGGTACTGCACTACTACAATGGCTAATTCAGTACTTGCAGCCTCTGCCATCACTACAACCATACAATAACTCACTGGATACTACCACCATAGCTAGTCTCACTTAGAGAAGCATAGTACCTGCTAATACAGACAGTGGGGCATAGTTATTAATGACAGGGCAGGCATGCCCTGCCATAACTGTAATCACTGCGCCAAAATTACTTGAAGCAGAGAACCTCAGCAGCACCCATTCTACTGACAAAGAAGGTTGCCTTAAATCTTGCCGTGCATCCCCAACCACTCCTTGGCTGTGAGGTTGTTACGCAGTCCCTGTTGTACATCAGTTATTAATTGTGTGGAACGCTTGAATTTCTTACGTCAAGACATAGCTGTATGTGCCAATAGGGCACACATAATGAATTGAAAAGCAAATTAACCTTATAATAGCTGGAAACTGAATGTGGCACACCTAGTGAGTAGTGATTATTTTTTTACATATGAAATAATAGTACAGGATCTAAGTTGTACTTACTCGCTTTGAAAACCTCTAGCTAATTTAGTATTAACAAAATATGGGCAAATTATTGTGAATTTAATTCCTCGTTTTCCTGTGTGATACAGTTCCGAATTTATGGCTTCCATCATTCCCACAATTGCAAATTTACTTGCAGAGTAATCTGAAAAATGAAGAAAAAAGAAATATTCAAAATATGTCAAAAGCACCACAGTTAGTGTTATATACAGAATTTAATGTTTTGCAATACCATTTAAGCCCTGATATTACTTAGTTAAATAATTAGGAGTCTTGTAATTAGTGTTTTAAGGATGCTGTGTGTGTTGATGTTGCTAAATCTGAAGATTAATGGCTCTTCCCACGACTGATGCACAGTTGTCTAAGGATAGGATTAAACCTTTTATAGTGGACTATTTTCAGTGTACTATAAAGAGATATAAGATAAGCTTATTCAACATATCATGTTCATTTCCAGATACTCATATACAAGCCAGGCATCCATTCAGTTCAGAATGTCTTCACCCTTTACTACTGCGGCTTACATTTCAGTATGAACTATTTCTAGTCATAAAATCTAAATACTCATAAATGTTGCTTCAACCTCTTACTACTTCTTCTGATTTGCCCTGTAACTTCAGTTTTGTCTGCCCAGGAAGACTGAATTTTGTCTCATTTTTATTGTTTGAACATATGAAACTCCATCTTTGGAGATAATAAAACATTTTCCCTTACAAGACCCTGTGCAACATGATCTAAGTTGGTCCTGCTTTTATTTTGGGGTATGGACCAAATGACCTTCAGAGGTTTCTTCCAAACTACATTGTTCCACAATTTTGCAACAGTAAGAGCCTTATTTCACTATAGGAATTTACACGTGGCTTCCTAAGACTTTTTCAAACATGTGTGAAAATATTTGTTAGATGCAATGGAATGCAATTTTGCTAAAAGAGTAGCTTCAAAAACTGGCATCAGAGACAGTTTGTTATTCTTCAGGGATTCACCCATATTGGATGATGGATCCATGCAACCTAAAAATGTGTAGTTAAGGTGTAAAAAGTTATAATGCTTGGATGGCAGGTTCACTCTCATAAGCCTAACAGTTAAATGATGAAATATGTGACCTATTATCAATACCAAATTTGACTCAGTGATAACAAGTGGCAAGCAAACACTACAGTAACACCATCAATCAGCAGAAGAAACAAGAGATACTTATTACACTGAAGTTCACTTCTCATAGGGTGACCTAAGAGATATGATCAAGAAGTCAGAGAGGCTCGAGGAAAGACTGGGCAGCAGACCCAGGCTGACGGAATAGTCAGGACTGTTGCAGACAGCTCTTCTGAGGGAAACAACTGAGAACATGGAGCTGTTAAATATCCTAAACCACAATTCATTCAAATTAATTTTAATGAAAATCCTGTCAAAATGCCTTCTGGACCTGAAAACCATTTTCCAACTAAATTTATAGTTCCAGGTATAACCCATGTATGTCTCAGGACTCTGAACATTCTTCTGCAGAAAACCTGGCATGAAAAATGTGTTAGACAACCTGTATGCAGAGCTCCCTCCCACTGCATACATAGGAGCTGTCTTGATCTTCTGTGGAGATAAGACAGGCTGCAGTTAGGAAAATCTGCAGTGAGGCCCCTGTGTCACTCAGGCAACATATCACCATCATCCTCTTCAATACACCACCACCTTTGGTATCTGCAGGCTCTTCCTGAATGTTCAATATGTCAGTGTAAACTGCTTAAGTCAAGCATTTATGAGATTTCCAATAAAGTTATTAGCATGTAGATCTAATTTGTAATGGCACTTGATGATACTAACCTGAACTTCTGTATCCTCCCAACAATCCTGCTGAGCTGGACATGCTAACCAGGTGTCCACGGTCGCAGCGCATCATGGCTGGAAGAAAGGCCTTGCAAGTCTAAAAGATATTAAAAAAACCCCATTATAACAAAACACGTCAAAAATGTTGCATTCCAAATTAGGCTTTACAACCCAATTTGCTTTCTGGGGCTTCAGTACATAAGAAGCCAAAATGACCTTCTATCTCTGTAAGAATTTATAACTGAGACAGCATTTCCTTGAATTACTGCCCTCTCTGAAGATCTGTCAGCATTTAAACCCATGTTATTAAAAGCAGCAGAGTTTATATTTACCCCGTCTCCTGGTTTGAGTCCATTTGAGACTATTAGCAAAGATTTGGTACACAAGAGGGAGCTAGAAGTCAACACATCAAGGGAGCTCAGCTGTCTATGGGCCCTATTTGTTAAAAGCGAACTGCCTGACAACTCGGGCAACCCAGACCGCCCCCGTGGGTGATGCAACATAAGAAGGATGCGAGTGCTTTATGATGGGGAAGATAAGAAAAAAGACAGAGCAGCATCAGTTTCTTTTTCAGTAGCTGAGACGTGCGGCAATGTCTATTCAACTCCAGATGTGTGTGTCTGCTACATGTTTAGTTGGTTGAGGGCTCACGGCCACTGCCCCCCTGCCCTATGTCTCTTCAGACCTATGAGGAGGAAAAATCTCTCCTAGTCTCTTTGCCTGAAGTATCTGAAAGAATGATGCACTGTGGGCTGGTAAATGATTAAAAGTCTTCTATCTGAAATGATTTTCTGTTGAGAAATGCCATTTAGCAAGGGAGTTGCAATACTACATTTCCCCCCAGTGCAGGCTGCTCCCTCAGGCATATAAACAACAAATGCAAGATAGGGCAAGAGGAACACTCCCTCACAACAAAACCTTCCAGGAGGGTCAACTGAGACCCTGAATAACAGCAAATTCCTTCAGAGGTAATACATACTGTCCAGGATTAGTTTTATGTACATGGTGACTAGGAATGAAAGCACAACCCGAAGACTGACACCAACATGTGCAGCGTAGCATCACTTAGTTCAGAAAAGACCTTTAAGATCATCAAGTCCAACCATAAACCTAACACTGCCAAGTCCGCCACTAAACCATGGTCCTGCCTCCCCAAGTGCTACAAGTCTATCAGACAAAGCTTTCTGATGCCGGCCAACATCTGGAGCGGGACAGTCACACGCCATGGTGTCAGCACTAACTTCAGCCACAGCTGTTACAGGTAGAGCATGTTACACGCTACGGTTGCACAAAATTCTGATTTACCAAAGTGCCCAGGCAGGTTTGTGTCAATATTACTGAGACATAGTGGGGAGACTGTCAATTTGACGTGTCTCCAATTAGAGGATGATTAAAAAAAGAGTATCTTCCCACAATCAAGGCCTTTCCCATCCTTATTCCAAATTGGATTCCCCAGGTAGGTGCCACCATGGTGATTTTCACAGTGAAATACTTGCCTGTACCTTTCAGTCACCCAGGAGAGAAAAAAATACATTACCCAGACTTGAGAGAAGAAGTTGACTTTTAAAGTATTTTCAAAATCTTCATCTCGCGTGTCAATGAACATTTTCCCAGGCAGTATGCCAGCATCATTGATTAGAATAGTAACATCTCCAACTTCTTTTCTAACCTGAATAAAAAAAGGATACACAGAAAACTTCAGAAGGTGTCCTTGTCTCTTGTGCTTCATTTACGAAAAAGTTTAGTGATACTTGCAGTTATTTATATCTTTACTGGAAATGTAAGTATGTAAGAACTGTTGTACCACATCAGAACAAAGGTCTGTCTAGCCCCACGGTAGAAACAGTAAAAAAACGGACCAGGACTCAGGTCTCTTTGAGCATACTCCTCAACTTTTAGAATCATAGAAAGATAAAATCGTTTGTGTTGAAAAAGACCTTAAAGATCATCTAATTCCAACCCCACTGCCATGGGCAGGGACACCTCTCACCAGATCAGGTTACTCAAAGCCCTGTCCAACCTGGCCTTGAACACTTTCAGGGAAGGGGCATCCACAACTTCCCTGGGCAACCTGTGCTGGTGTCTCACCACCCTCACAGTAAAGAATTTCTTCCTAATATCTATCCTAATATCCTAATATCTATGCTTTTTCAGTTAAAAACCTTTGCCCCTCATTCTATCGCTACCTGCCCTCATATAAAGTCCCTCCCCAGCTATCCTGTAGCAGCATTCTTTTTTTCACACTCTGCAGCTTAGTATCTTCCTCAGATAGATAAGTTATCTCTATCTTTGTATTTAATAGATCCCCGTGGTTAATTTCTTCCCTGATAATTTGTCTAATTGCTTTCTGAACTACACAATACTTATGGTTTCCACGGGAACCTCAAGTAAGTAATGAGTTACAAAGCTTTAGTGGGCACTGTGAGAATGCTTTAATTGCAACCTGAACATTTCTTGTCCCCTCTTTCTGGTATTGTGAGAATCTGTATTCCTCACCCAAGTCTGTTCAACCCCTTCTTCAGGTATTTTCTGCTGAACAGGATAGAATTCAGTGCAGATCCCTGGGGGACACCAGTCCCTTTGAGTGCAGAAGTGTGTACCATGAAATAGATAGATAGCACCACTTGGAGAGAAGGCCAAAGTCACCATTAGCTCCATTCGAGTTTAAAAACATTTTATAAAAATATTTAATTCCATGATTTGGATTTACATCAAAGCAGGTGGCCAAGATTTACTTATAGTAATACAAATCAGGCTCATGGCAGAGATTTTTGTGCTAGAGGCAAATGTTTATTTGGTGTCTCAGAAGGGACAGAATGACTACAAAACCATAAAAATCCCAGAAATGTTGCTGTCTGGCAATTTGGAAATAGGTGCTTGGATCTGATGCCCCAGCGTCTGACCTTCCTTTGGCTCTCTCAGGGAGCCTTTAGTGCTCAGTGAAGACTCGTTTGATTCTCCTTCAGCTGTGCCAGGCTTTCTTCTTGTCACAGACAAGCAATGCTCAGATACCAGCACCTTTCCACCTGCACAAATGAATGTAAATCCAGCCACTGCTGAGTATGGCAGGAATCCCCAACTCTTCCTCTGTGGGATACATCTGTACTTCCTCCCGACTTGTACCTTTTAACTACTGTGTTAGTCCATGTGACAATCCTCTTTTTCTTCACATGACAACACAGCAAGATTTTTTTTAAAATCTGGCTTAATTTGAGCTGTTTATTCACTATCCCCCCAAAAAAGAATTGGGAAGCTCGACTTCCATTCACAAAAAGTCAAGCTGATTATTCTCCATTATGTATTTCTCCAGGTTTCTATTAATTCTTTTCTCTATAATAATTTCCACCAATTTTCTGTATGAAAAGTTTGTAGTTTCTTGATGTCCTCTCAAGCACTCTTTAAAATTGGCTTATTTGCAATCTTCATTTCTTGGACACCTGTTGTAGCAAAACATGTACCACTCATTTCTAGCTCATGTGATTCATATCTGATTTCCTTAGAAATTCCCAGGTGGATACTGGCTGATCCTGAAAATCTGTTGCCATCCACTTCATCAGTTTATTCTCTTTTTAGGGACTTTGATGATCTGATTTGCTTCCTAGAAAGCAAGCTTCCACTGTGGGAAAATACCTAGTGGTTTTTTTGCAGTGAATATACCAAGTAAAAGTAATTAATTTAACTTTTCTGCTATTCCTTTATCTTCTGTGTCCAAGCTCATGCCTTTTGACATTTTCATTGATAATAATGAAAAAGTTGCAGCTGTTTCCAAGAGTAGAGAAGGCCCCAAGTTGAAAAAGTCTTGATCTAAAAGAAACTGTCTCCATCATGAGTGTTCAATTCATACACATACCTACAAAGATGTTGGTATTGTTAGCAATAATTTAACATCTTTGGAGCAGTTCCTGAATTTTAAATAGCTCTTTGAGTTTCTGCTTGTAGGTCAGTCTCTGCACTTCAGCATACTCTGCTGATGTGGGCACAGCAAATGCTGGAGCCCTATGGCTGATCCGGTTCACGTGTTTGGAGACTGAAAATTACTTGAGTGCACAAAACAAACATTTTGAAACTCTGTTAAACTAAGAACAAACAAATAATTTCAAAATGTTCAGCTTTGACAGGAAAGTCCAACCAAGAAATTACTTACATAGGCTTAAACTAGACATGTTGGTGCATGTCTTTGGAAGAATCAGATAGCATCTGTGGGAATAGGGATTTAATGCCAATTTAAAATATTATTTTTAAAAGAGATTTGATCTTGCTAAATTATAAAATGAGGTTTTTCCTTGCAAAAAGGGGATTCTAGAAGAATTGCTGTTCGATTTATAGTATCATTCCTAATAAAGATGAAATGTCATATTTGAAGTACTGACCACAAGTTGCTCAGACTGATTTTCATCTTGCTGGGAAGTGATAAGAGATGTTAAAAATTGTTGAAATTAGTGGGATTCTTACTCCAAAATGGCAGGAGTCAATGTCTTACATGGTGAGGATCATATCATCTGTACCACCCAAGTAACTGGCAAAGGTCGTCCTCCTTAAACACTGCGTGGTGGGTCTGTACAGAACACTCCACCACTTGCTCCTCTCTGCAGACATGCTATTATAATATGATACATCCCTGCCTGCACTGTCCCAGTAGTACTATGGTACCACTTGTGGTTCTTAACATCTACAACCAATGGCCCTAAATGGAATTTTTTTCTGAGCACTGTTAATTTCTGTGCCCCAAATGCTGCTAACAAGTATGAGTAAAATAATACCTTGTTGAGTGCAAGCTTGAGAATTGCAGTTCCAGATACTTACAGATACTGAATCCAACTTACCTTTTAGAAGTACATTTCATTGGGAACATTTCTTGAGGAAAAATACTTATTTCAAACTTTCATAGCCACATTTGGAAAGAATTAATCTGTTCTGGTTAAAATTAAAAGCAACAACCACAAAACAAAGAGACCCCACTGACAACTCATAGAAAATGAATGTAACATTTCAGGGGTACTCCAAAACAATCTATCAACATTCATGTGTCATGAAATATTTTAGCTAATTTCTCTGATTTGCGCCTTTGGACACAAAATGGCAAAGATGTGACTTGAGAGTCATGTATATGACTACATATACTGAGAATTTAACAGAAGAAGAGTTTATCCCTGGATAAAATAGCAGAGTGGCTAAATGGATTATAAGTGAGGTTATACTGGGAAATATTTTCAGGCAGTGTGTATTTTAAGGACAAGTGAAAACTAATAATGTTAATTTAATGGTCAATTTCTGGACTCTGATATAATAATAAAAAGGTAATAGTTTACAAAGTGTAGGTCAGCAGAGCAGAAAAGTCTCATTTAAAATGGAATCCTTCTCTACCTTACTTTCCAGCTAGATTGACCAGAAAATAAATTGAAGCCAATTCATCAACTTGACTGGAGACCAGCTATGTCCTGATGATATTTCTGAAAGAATTATACCTCACATCACCCTTAAAGAACAATAGTTTTCTAAAACCCACCTCGCTTACAAATTCCACTGTTTTTACAATTTGTTTTAATTTCTTGATATCTTAAAGAAATTTTAAAGCCTGAAGAAACTAATATATTGAGTTAACCTCTGCTGCATGTTAAAACTCATAATCTAAAAGAAGTTACCATCTCACCACAAAGACTGGAAATGGATAAATCTTGATAGAACAGATTAAATACGGTTGCTTTTTGTGAACATAGTTTAAGTTCCATCTACAAGCTACTTGTCGAAAAGAGGAAGTCATTGCCCTACATGATTACTTTGCTTTAGTGAACAGTAGTTTCTTAAAAGATGTCAATAGTATACATGGTTAAAAAGAAGCAAGAAGCCAAATCAGGCATCAGAAGCTGTGTCCTACCTTGTCGGCCTGTGCATACACCTCCTCCCTATTGCTGCAGTCACAGTGGTACACAAACACGCGTTTAGCTCCACGTTGCTGGGCTAATCTGCACGTTTCTTTGTTACCTTCATCATCAATGTCCCAGAGAACCAAGGTTGCTCCTAGAGGAGCAAATTTTAAGACGATCTGCCTTCCAATCCCATTTGCGGAGCCAGTAATAAGCACTATTTCACCAGCAAAATTTCTTTTGCATGAAGGAAATATGCATAAGATTAGATTCTTCAAAAATGAAACCATTAAGGATAGCAGGAGCTGTAGAAACTCCAGGATGCCTCTGAAGATGCACATGATTTGTCAGGCACAACCACCACTCTTCCGTGATATAAACCCGGAAATACAATCTGTTACTGGCCCTTCAAAATGCTGAGATATTGACTGAAAAAAAAAAAAAAGAAAAAAAGAAAAAAGAGATTGACTTTCAAATAGCTATTTCTTTTACATTGTTCTTTTGTTTGTTCAGGTACAAAATACATTACTAAAGACTACTTTTGTGAAAGTTTCTTACTTGTAGGATTAAAGCAAATGTCTTCTGCTAGATCCTACACACCAGCTCTTTCATCCCAAAGTCCTCAGCTTCCACCTTGGTTTTTAATAAAGTTTAGCAACATACATTTTATACATGTATATTGTAGCAGCATACATGTATAAAACATGTCTGTTTTCATAGCAAGGTGATATTAGCTGAACAAAAAAAGTACTGAAAATGCTGGTGTGATATCAACCTCAGAAAGAAAAGTGTCCTTAGCAGAAATGTCACCTGCTATTTCAGAAAGCGGGCAAGGAGAACCTGTCCATGCCATGTATAGTTTCCAGTGTTGTATGGTCAAAATCACAAAAATCACAAAACTAAAAGAAAATTAATTTGTGAGCAAATTACCAATCACTAAAAAAACCCCAAAAATGCAAAAAAAAAAGGCGCGTAGCCCTGCGCCCCCAGAGAGGGGACTCCCGTCTCCCTGCGGCCCTGCCCCCCCCCTCCACCTCTCTCCGGCCCCCTTCGGGGGCCGCCCCCCCCCCCCCGGCCCCCTTGGGGGGCCGCCCCCTGCCCGGTCCCCGCCGCCGGCGGGACCCCCTGCACTCACCGCCGGCGCCGGCTGCTCCGCACCTGCCTGCCCAGGGGTGGCCCTGAGGAACTGGGTGTCAGTCCTGGGTGGCTTCCCAAAGTCGTCTGCTGGGCGGTACCCTCTCCTGCCGCGTCACGAAGCCGTGGTGCTGCATCACCTTCCGCCCCCTCCACTCTACCTGCCCTAACCAGGAGGGTGAGGGTGACATGGCCGCTGGCAACGCGCCTAGGACTTGTAGAACGACCTGGCCAAGAACTTGGAAAGCAAGCACTCCCTTCCTCTGTGGCTGCTTTACCGGAGTTATGAAGTTAAACACTTCTTTCTTTGTATGGTAAATTAATTACTGTTCTCCAGCTTGCCCAGATGCTGATCAAAAATGTCTCCCTATAACACAGTGAAACCACCTCTTTGTCATTGTTTCACATCTATAAAAGTACAATGATGGTTCCTCAGTTCTCCATACACACATTAACCAGCTTTAAAACTGCAGTCCCAGACCACTGTAGTGTCAGTATTTTTTTTTTTTCCTTGATTGAACAGAAAGCCATGCTCCTACTTAGGCCCGTAATACTGTGCTTTTCCCTTTATCTTCTCAGCTGGTCTCGATCACCGTGACATCTTCCATGCACTGTTTATGTAAAAAGACAAGAGAGCACTATTCATTTGCCGTACTTTGCATTTTGAACCAATGATACTAAAGGTCTTGTCTTGTTTTTCGGCAAGTCACAGAAGGAAGGAATTTGAATAAAGTCATGGTGCACTCTGGTCCACACATCTATGTTGTAAACACAATTCAGATCACAGTTCATGGGGAATCATGGGGCATTTTTCATTTCAGCTGAAACAAAATGGTAGTTCACATAATTTGATGTAATTTACACCAAGAAATATGGTGGAAAATTCTAGCTGTCAGTGCTAGTAATTGTAACCCATGCATAACTAACTGTTGCATATTCTGTTTAGATATCAGCAAAAAATGAAGCTGAAATACATCCACTGAGGCTTAAGGCAGATCTCAAAGCCTCAGTAAAGTGTGGCTCCGAACAAGGTGCGAACCAATGCAAAATAGGTGGGTAAGGTAACTCCAAGCGTGTTTCACTGTAATCAGCCATCACATGGCAAAAGCAGCAAATTATGGGAAGGGGAAATGATTCAGTGATGAATTCCTGGTTATGAAACAAGCTAGAGGAGATGTTTGTTTTTAGGACAACGTTTCAAGGTAAACCTCACCAATAGGGAATGGTGTTGCAACCAGAACTTTACAAACTGTAAGGTAACAGGAGGAGCCTGTTTTCAAAGCACATGCTTATGCAAGTATGTAAACACATGACTTCCCTGCTCTTACCACTAAATTGGCCTAAAGAGCAGCTATAATTCTGTAAGCAGTCAAAATGACAATGGTCATTAGTAATTTAGATGCCTAAATTAGAGGCTTTCTTGTTGTAGTGGGTTACAGCTCATTACTAGCTTTAGACAGGGAATGGACATGGGAAGTAACAAGAGACTTGGAGGATGCACAGCATATTTAGGATAGGTCATGTTTTGCTCACCACCGGCAAGATTTCATGGATTCTTCAGAGACTTGTTTAGCATTTGGAAATCATGTCTGTGTACTACTTTTTGTCCCAGCTTTGTCCCTATGTTTCAAAATGTTGAATTTTGTTGTCAAACAGAAACTTATTCTTACGGCTGCTGTATGCACAGTAACCAGTTTCTGGCCCCAGACTTACCTCTCTCTGTACTGAATTTCAAATGACTTGTACCAAAATCTCCATTTCATAAGTGATAGTAAAAATACAGGAATTAAATTATCTACAACATTTGGCTGCACGGAAAAAAGAAATAATGCTACAGCCAGAGAAGCCATGCAAACAGTTCTGTGAGAACTATTTTTCCTATTGACCATCCAATAACAAACTTTCAGATGGCTGGCATTAGGTTTAATAACAAAGTTATTAAATATATGAAATGGCAAATGCACAAGTAGATAAATTTTCAAGTTAAAGGCATGCCAATAACAAGATCAAGAACAGAAATAACCACATAACTGAGAATACTTAAAATTGATGTACACCAGCATCCTTATGCACCTCTGTATGCTTTGTATATACCCCATGTTGTGAGAAATAATCATATCAAATTAAGCCTATCAAGTCTATCAAGCAAGTCTATTAAAATAAATCACTACCCTGCTTTCTTGACTGCGTAATAATTGGTCAGACACACATGCCAAAATCTATCCATGTAGCAAGGCTGAATTTTTTCAATGGTGCAAATCCTCTGGCACGCTTGTAGTTGCCAAGGTGATAAAGATGACATAATATTTCAGTAATTACATGTTTTCTGTGAAACACTGGGGTCACAGTTGACTGGAGGTTAGCAAATGTGACGTTCATCTACAAGGGCTGCAAGGAGGATATGGGAAACTGCAGGCCTGTCAGCCTGACCTTGGTGCTGGGGAAGGTTATGGAGTAGATCATCTTGAGTGCCATCACATGGCACATACAGGACAGCCAGGTGATCAGGCCCAATCAGCATGGGTTTATGAAAGGCATTGACTGACCTGATCTCCTTCTACGACAAGGTGATCTGCTTAGTGGATGAAGGGAAGGCTGTGGATGTAGTGTACCTGGACTTTGGTAAAGCCTTTGACACTGTTTCCCACAGCATCCTCCTAGAGAAACTGGCTGCCCATGGGTTGGACAGGCATATGCTTTACTGGGTAAAAAAACTGGCTGGATGCACAGGCCCAAAGAGTTGTGGTGAATGGAGTCAAATCCAGTTGGTGCCTGATCACAAGTGGTGTTCCCCAGGACTTGGTTTTGGGGCTAGTTCTGTTTAGCATTTTTATCAATGATCTGCATGAGGGGATTGAGTGCATTCTCAGTAAGCTTGCAGATGACACCAAGTTGGGCAGGATTATTGATCTGCCTGAAGGTAGGAAGGCTCTACAGAGGAGTCTGGACAGGCTGAGTTGATTGGCCAAGACTAATTGTATGAGGTTCAACAAAGTCAAGTGCTGAGTCCTGCATTTGAGTTACAACCACCCCATGTAATGCTATGGGCTTGGGGATGAGTGACTGGAAAGCTGCCCAGCAGAAAGAACCTGGGGGTGCTGGTTGACAGCCAGCTGAACATGAGTCAGCAATGTGCCCAGGTGGCCGAGAAGGCCAATGGCATCCTGGCTTGTATCAGAAATAGTGTGGCCAGCAGGACCATGGAAGTGATTGTCCCCCTGTACTTGGCACTGGTGAGGCCACACATCAAATACTGTGTTGAGGTATTGGCCTCTCACTACAAGAAAGACATTGAGAAGCTGGAGCTTGTCCAAAGAAGGGCAACAAAGCTGGTGAAGGGTTTAGAGCACAAGACTTATGAGGAGTGGCTGAGGGAACTGGGGTTGTTTAGCTTGGAGAAAAGGAAACTCAGGTGAGACCTTATCGCTCTCTACAACTACCTGAAAGGAGGTGCACTTAGATGTCAGACTCTTCTGCCAAATAGCAAGTGATAGGACAAGAGGAAACAGCCTCAAGTTGCGCAAGGAGAGGTTTAGATTGGGTATTAGGAAACAGTTTTTCACTGAAAGGGTTATCAAGCACTGGAACAGGCTGCCCAGGGAAGTAGTGAAGTCACCATCCCTGGAGGTGTTCAAAAGCTATGTAGATGTGGCCCTTAGGGACATGGTTTAGTGGTGGACTTAGAAGTGTTAGGTTAGTGGTTTGACTCAATGATCTTGAAGATCTTTTCCAACCTAAGTGATTCTATGATTATATGATTCTACGAATTGTCTTAACTGCCATAGGTCATGCATAGTAAAGGCAAGTGTAACTTATTTTATTGGCCTCTTGTTTGGTCATGAAGATTAGATTTAGAGAATTACCTCCTGTTCTCAAGCCAGCTGGACTTTTCAGATGTTTTGACTGATTACACATTGACCAACAGCATCTTGTTACTGAGAAGATAAAGAAGCTTACTTGCAAAGCAGTGAGGCTAATGATATTGAAGTGCATCTTGACCTCTGATCTGTAACATATACTTTAACTATATGTTATTAATTACCAGTAATTATTATATTCCTGAGCTTTTTATAAATGGTTATTAAGTATCTATCAATATATTAATAAGCCATTAATGTATTATCAGTATGTAAAACTTCTAATTCTACTTCCAGAAAGAAAAAAGAAAGATTTAGTAGAACAAGATTACTTTATTAAATTGCCTGAT